AGCGTCCGATCGTAGTGTCCATTTTCCTTCGTTCCCTTCTATGTGTTTTGAGTAGAAGGCAAGTGGTATTGTCTACAAGTCAACAAAGGAGAAGTTAAGCAAAGGAAATAAGCAGAGGAGAAATAGAGAGCGTGTGTATACCACGCCACTGCAGAAACCAGGAAGCAGAGGCTTCAAGAAGTGAGGTTCATGCTGATTCTCCATCTGCAAACAAGAAACGAAATTGGAACATTTTAATTCTAAGTCTGGAAGATTTATATTAAGTCGTCTGGGTCGTCCACCTGGAAGACTTCCCAGACGACTTATATTAAGTCGTCTGGGTCGTCCACCTGGAAGACTTCCCAGACGACTTAACGGTAAGTCGTCTGGGTCGTCCACCTGGCAGACTTTCCAGACGACTTTACCAGACTTCCAGTAGAACATTTGAAAGCTGACCAGACGAATGAGACGAGAACAACATCCAACCTAACTAGACCACAAATCGATTGAAATCCCCAATCTTTGAAACCCGAATTTGAGAATGAAAATATCCACAAATTGCTTGAAATCACAAATCGTAACCGTGAAAGGAGAGGAAAACTACATCCAACCTAACTAAACAACAAATCGATTGAAATCCCCAATTTTTGAAACCCTAATTTGAAACCAAAATTTCCAGAAATCGTTGAAAACACAAAACAAAACGGTAAAAGTAAAGNCCACGTTATAAAATCAAATTATACTTAAATATTGTTTACTATACACAGAAATAAACACACTTAGGTAAATTTTTAATTTTTCAAAAAAACATTTATGCTTTCAAAAATCTAACCCTAAGAAACACATACAATACTACAACATATGTTGGTGAAACCTAAACCAAAGAATATCATGACTCACTACTTTCACTCATCTATGTTGAAAACAACTGACTTTTGTTATATATTAATTTATATCTCTTAAGACATATGTTAATTACATAATTCCAATTTTTCATTTATCAAAATATTTATTACACAATTTTTAAATTATTTTTAAGAAAAACTGTCACAGACGACTTGCGAGGACTAAAAACGTAAAAAAAAACTCTTTTTTGTTTGTTCACAGGGGGTTGGTTGTAATTTCAACAGCCTTTTAAGTTACTTTTGCATTTGATTCAAGTTTGGGTTTACTTTTGCATTTCAAATCAAGTTTTGAGTCATATTTGACAATTTTCCCAAATATAAAAGACATTACTTCAACCGTAAGTTATGAGATTATAATATAAGACCATCATTTACTATATTTTCCCATTCGTTGTGGTATATGTAGGTAAAAATTAAATTTAATATATTTTTGTTAGTGCAAGATATTCATTTACTATATTTATGCTAAATATAAAAAAACTTCAACTGTAAGTTATGAGATTATAATATAAGGCCATCATTTACTATATTTGCCTATTCATTATGGTATATGTACGTAAAAATTAAATTTAATATATTTTTATTAATGCAAGAGATCCAGTAGATAATAACACGTGGACTTTATAAAATTTGAATTCAACGATACGTAAAAAAAAACAAACAAATAGTACTTTAAATAAATGAAGCCCGTAATTTAGTTTGTTATGCCATAGTATTCTAGATTTTCGGGTTGTATAAGGTTATGTTATGATTTATTTTGTTATATAATTAGAACAATTAGTAATGAAATAGTCCAACAACCTTTTTTAGGTAGATTTTTTTACATTCCTTCTTTTTTAATAGTATTGATTGTTATAGAAACTATAATTTTTTTTGCATAATTTATGTATTTTTATTTTTTTTTACATAATTTAGCATTACATCAAATATGAAATATTTAAATAGTTTTTTTATCAGCAATTTTTTTTTGGACTTTGAAAACAATCGTTATCCGAACTATATGAAATATATGCATCATTAGATTGTCTTATATATCTGATACACTAAAAATGAATTCTTGTTATTGTCAAGTTAAGGTTGGTAATTGTAACTATTTAGATTCAATTTAGAAGACCACTTTACACTTTACTCTTATAAGTTCAATATAAAGTTAAGAGCAATTGTGACTAATCTCTCATAACCTATTTGAAACCTAAATCTAACAATAGAATTACTCCACCTCGCTGTTATGCGTGATAACACTCGGAAATGACATCTTTTTTCATGCACCCTCTTTTTACTCTTTCACATATTACAGACCTATAATTATTCAGAAAGGGCTGGACGGACACGAATTAGGACTAAAAACCAATTGAAAACGTATATACAATGGTGTTAAAAACACAATATATCAATTTTCCCAAACTTAAATCCTTGTTTGTCCTCGAACAAGGCCAAGTATCCAGAACATGGAGTAAGGTTTTAAAGTGTGGAAACTCTCCTATTCTCAGCAACCATACCCTTACCATGATTCTCTAAACCATAAAAGTAGTAGACTAGGACCACACACCCTTATCGGAACCCCACTGACCGCTGTTCGAAGATCGGCTCCATATTCTACATCTCAAACAAAGGCAACACTAGTGAGATAGAACTCCCTTCATTAAAGAACATCGTGAGCTTCTTATTACATGCACTATGCAGGGTAGACGGGCAAGGTTTCAAACAAGCTAATTTAATGGAGGAGTTAAGAAGTGTTTAGTGGCTACCATTTTTAGAGGATGCAGGATATCGCGCAAAACTGCAATAGAGAACGGATCCATTGATGTTCACAACCCTTACTCGTTTCAGCTTAACTCGGGAACAGCTGTTCTTCGATTCGGATCAACCATGGGACTTTTCTGGCACGTCAACTTCCTCTACATACACTTCTAAAATCGGTACCTACTCCTTGATTTTACCTTCCCACTGGCTTACCCGAATTCATCTTCGTCTTCATCACCATGTCTACAACAAATGCAAATAATTTTTTTTTTTTTTTAAATGCATAAAGGGATGATGGAGTGATGAATAAGGAGGTAAGATGTAATGCTCTGGTTGCCACTGGTTCGCACTGGTCCCAAAATTTCACCTTCACCATTGTTCTTCTAGAGTAGGAACATGTATACATCGGCTGTTCTCTTGTTTGATTAATCCTCTCTCAACTGAGTGTAGCAGTAACGAGTAAGAGGCGGCGTTGATCCTTTTCTCTCCGATATTTTTGCACATATCTGCACATATGACACTGGAAAAACAAATGCATGAAGGTGGAACAAGGGTTAAGGTGCAAGGTGGGAACTAGCCAAAGATGAGCTAGCCACTCAAGAACAGCCAGAGGGGTAAAAAGAATAAGAAGTCATGAGTGTAGGTCTCGTTTCCCTAATCTAGTGCCCATAAGAAGAAGTATTTTAGTCGATATTAGGTTTAAGGTAAGTGGAGTTAATTTTACCCAGTGTAACTCGATCGAAAGAGAACTTCAGGAGAGTCAAGTGAGATATGTCAGGGTGTTCCAGGTCCAGATGTGGATGTTTCGTCACTGCTAAGGTCACTGAATAAGAAAATTAGAGCACAAAGTGGTTAAAAGATCATCACAAAATAAGGTCGTAATTCCCACAAGAGTTTTGACTGAATCGATCCTAAAAAACGACTCCATAAAAACATGAAAATGACACAAGGACTAACCCAAATATGGAAACAAAAAGGAACAAACAAAATTAGTAGACATAATCGCCTCCCAAGAATTACTTCACACCATTCTGGTAGTGAAATAAATAAAAGAAAGCTAAAAGAAAACCAATAAAAAGCATAAAAATAAATAGTTCAGATGGATAAAACAATGGGTAGAAAGGAGTCCTCAAGGACTCACTCTGACTCTCCACTCTCAGACCGGTCTGGGGCTCTCCTATTCTTTCTGAAGAGCACTCCTTCTGCTGAAGACTCGGCCTGTTCCTTTCCTCGTCTACGGGTTGGATGAGGTGTTTTCTCCTGTTAGGTTGGTTCTGCTGAGTGCGATTGGAAATGGCCTCCGGTAATCGCCCTGTTAATCCTCTTCATGAGGGTGTTTTTCTTGCGTTGTGAGTTAATCACCCAGTAACGATAAGTATGCTTATCTGTGTCATCCCTCATTGGTTCAAGGTTGTAAGGATCTGGGGTCATCCCTGGTAGTGAAATAAATCGAAGAAGGCTAAAATCAAACCAATAAAAGCATAAAATAAATAGTTCAAATGGATAAAACAATAAGGTAGAAAGGAGTCCTCGAGGACTCAGTCTGACTCTCCACTCTCAGAGCGATCTGGTGCCCTCATGTTCCTTGCTAGGCGCACTCCCTCTGCTGAAGGCTCCGTCTGTTCCTTTCCTAGTCTACGGGTTGGATGAGGTGTTTTCTCCTGATCGGTTGGTCCTGCTGACTGCGATTGGAAACAGCCTCCAGTAGTCGCCCTGAGAATCCTCTTCTTGAGGGTGTTTTTCTTGCAGTGTGAGTCAATGTGGCGATAAGTTTGCTCATCTACGTCATCCCCGATTGGTCCAAGGTCGTAAGCATCTTGGGTAATGTCTTCCAGATCGTTCATGTCAGCGTCAAGTGGTGCAGTATGTGGATTGGCACATAGGAGCTTGGGAGCAGGTAAGAACCGAATGTTCTCGAAGATAGACAGACGCGTGATATCTTGTTGGCGGGAGTCTGCAGTAAAGCTGAGTTCCATATTTATCCTGGAACATGTAAGTGTTCTCGTCTCGCAAGATGTGGCAGTTGATCAGGTAAGGGATATCGATGTAATGAAGGTTGGCGTTGAATAGGTAGGGGTTGAGATCAATCTCGAAATGCCTATACAGTGGAGTTATCAGGCTGCCATATCTATCCTTCTTTTTCGATCCTCTCATCAGAAAGGTGCGTTTGTCGGCGAACATTTATGGCTGTAGATATCCAGGGTTCGTGAGGACTCTAGCCAATGGTTTTCCTGCCAACATACAACATCTGGAGTTCTCCATTTGTGACCTTGGATGTTTGATCCTTTGGGAACAAGAAGTTGCTTAGCAATGACCCTGATGGTCGGGTTCCTGATATGAGACTGATGAGCTGAGCGGGGTTTGAAGTCTCTTGATGCGATGAGGTCCCAAAACGAGTCAGCTGGTGGAAATCTCTAAACAAGAGAGACTTCTCTTAGATTATCATGTATCTCATAGATCTTGCTGAATTTAGTGAGTGGGAGCGAGCAGAATTTCCTTGTGTCCATGAATGTAAATGAAGCGTTCTCCAGTGTGGGATTGTAGATGTCTTCGTGAACGGCCTCTACTGTGGTGAGTGCTTGCGTGACCAGATCTGGGAATAGTATGTGGGTGTTATAGCAAAGGTCGGAGATCCCTTGAGCAGAGAGTGTTTTAAACATGTCCTCATCAATTCCGAGTAGTGAGAGAACCTTTGAGTTCACAAATCGCGTCGGGAGGATGTTGATGCTCAGCATGGAATTCTATGCTCTGGCCTTCTCTCGCGTGGCCAAAGGTAAGAGGCTGCGACTCAAGGGATCAGTGGTTGTGGGTTTTCGCGAGAGTACTTCAGTGTTTTCACCGACTTTTGCTTGGTGCGTGGAGGCATCTGCAAAACAGAACAAGCAAACAAATTTTAGTACGCTTCCCGGATTGCTCTAGAAAAGATGGAAACTCTAACCAATCCGATTTCGAACAAGTCCATTCATTTCTGAAGCAATCTGAAATCAAAAGTATTTTTGCAAAATCAACACAATATCTCAATCCCAAACAAGCGATCTCTTTTCATTCTCAATCAAAATTTCTTGATTTAATTGCTAAGAAGGTGAACAGTCAATATTTTCCATGAAAGAACACATGCAACCGATCAGAGAAAAAACGATTCAAACTTCATCTCAGTTTCATTTTATATCAACCCTAATAGTAAAAAAGGAAAATCGATTTAAAACTATAATGCCCAGAATAGATCTATTATGTTCTAGAAGGAAAGAGAGATTCAACCACCATTAGTGATTTGCATGCATGAATGTGGAGGAGTTTAATCGACTTGCCTTGTTGTTTGAGGGAGAAGACTGCAAAAACAGAGAGAACTCGAGTATCCGAACAGATTATATCCAAAAATAACTCAAACAGTTGAAGATTAAGACTTAGGTTTTTGGCTCTTAATAACAGAGGAGAGAGGGGAGCGGCGAGTGGTAAAGTAGGGAAGTGGAGAGGGATGAGTCTTAAATAAACAAACCCTATCCGCTTCCTTCTCTCTCTTTTTATTTTATTTTATTTATGTATTTATTTTATACCAATATACTTACCTGGGAGCGGTTGTTCTTGAATGGAACAAGCATCTGAATGGAGCAGCTGTTCCCTGATGGGAACATGCATCTGGATGGAGTAGCTATTCCTTGATAGGCTCTTCCAGCATTCTTGTAATCCAAATCTTTCGACTCCCATTTGATCCTTATAGAATCACCCTAATCCACTGACCGTACCACTATCGATCCATGATGCATCGATTTGACAGGTCGGATGTTGGAGGTCCACATGGAGAGTATAAATAACCGTCGGGGTAGATATGGATACCTCCTCTTCATCATTAGGTAGATTTGCTTTCCTCCAGCACTCAGCTTCAACTGTAGCTAGCTGAAGGGTGTCCACCGGTGATATCTCCTTTCCATTGAACAATTTGTCATTACGAGCCTTCCAAATGTACCATAGGATCCATGGGAAGATCTCGATAAGTTGTTCCATATAGGCCACATTTTCCGACTTCCAGAAGAGGAAGGTCACGTTTTGATAAACAGATGTACTCGGGAAGTAACCCGGAACGGATTCAAAAAGAAGATGGTTAATGGTTTCTTCAGGGCCACCACATCTAGGACAGCTCCTATCAGTAACCAGGTGTCTGTAGGCGAGTCTTTCCATTGTCGCAATACATCCTGTCAAAGCTTGCCACATAAAGTGTCTCCCAGGGGCAGGGATCTTCCACACATGGCTCTGTAAACCAGTGATACTTGGTTGTACAATGTGAGCGTCTGTGTCGCTCACTTTAGTCGATTGTAACCGGGTATATCCTGATTTTACTGAATAAACACCCGGTTTTGTATAGTTCCATGCATACCCATCTATAGACCATATATTACTTGGGCATAGTTTGAGGATTAGCGGGATATCCTCAGGGTGAAAATACTCTAGTAAGAGATTAGTATCCCAATCCCTTGTATCTCGCTTAATAAAGGAGTGAACAAGGAGCTTTGGGTGTCTATAAGTAACATGATCTGATGGTCTCAGTGGACGTGCATGAGTGTTTGGGATCCAAGGCTCGGTCCAAACACATGTATTAAGGACTGCTTCTATAGTCTTCTGTATTCCTGCTTTTAGTAGCGGTTTTGCTGCCATAATACTACGTCAGCAATAGGAAGGTGAGTAAACCTTACGGTCTTCCAAAGGACATGATAGATTATAGTATATTCTCTCAAAACTCGGGCAAGTAGAGAGTTTGGAAACTGAATCAATCTCCAGAGTTGTTTTGCTAATAAGGCAATATTAAAATCATGTAAGTTTTAAAAAACCAAGTCCACCCTGTTCATATGGAACACAAATCTTGTCCCAAGCGATCCAATGTAATCCTCGATTATTTTGGCTCGAGCTCCACCAAAAGTTTGAGGTAGCACTCTGAAATTCCACAATTCCTTGTGGAAGCAAGTAACACGACATACTAAATGTCGGAACAGCTTGCGCCACTGATTTTATCTGAACCTCTTTACCCCCTTCCGAAAGTAATCTAGCCGACCACGAGGTTACGCATCCATAAAATCGATCCTGTACATTGGAAAACACTTTCATCTTTGATCCACAAATTAGCTCTGGCAGTCCAAGGTATTTTCCCATTCATCCTTCATTAGTAATCCCAAAGACATGTTTAATATCTTGCTTAATGTTACGTGCAACCTTATTTCCAAAAATAATAGAGGACTTGGAAGTATTAAGTTGTTGTCTCGAAGACTTTCCATATGATTCCAAAATATCTAAGATTTAGTGTCTCACTTCTGCCTTGCAAAAAAAAAGAGGCTATCATCCGCAAATAAGAGATGTGAGATCCTGGGGCTGGCACGGGCAACACAAAGTTATAAGATGCACTTCTCCTCCTCCGCTCCTTGAAGGAGAAAGATCAAAGCTTCAGTGCACAAAATAAAGAGAAAAAGGGATAGCGGATCTCCCTGCCTCAAACCTCTCGTGGGTGTGATTTTTCCCCTGGGTTCTCCATTAATGATCACTTGGTATTATACTGATGTGACACAAAACATAAATAGGTCAACCACCTTTTCCACAAAACTGTGGGAACCGAAATCCACACTGTCGATTTTCTGTCAAATATGGAAACTTAGGGAAAACCCTAATTTTCCCGAGGTTCTGGATCTCCGCGGAAATCACTAAAACGAACAGAGTTAACAGAATATGGATGAATAACAATAACGAAGAACAGAGAATAGATAAAGAATTTGCGTGAGAGCTTTTATTGAATAAGAGATTTACAACTGTTACAAAGAGAATCGCAGAACTTAGACGTCGAAACGTTCTAAGGATCTGGCTTGCTAGTCTAAACGCTAAGTCCTAAATTTCTAAGCTAACAGCCGCCTCTCTAGGTCTGATTTTCGTGTCCCCTGCTTCTGCCCTATATACTCCCTTCCTAGGCGGTTTAGTCTTTCCATTTCGCCCCAGATTCGAGTTTATCGGGAATCTTCCATTTATCTTGATCTTTCCTTTTTTCCTGCGGAAATCTTCTATTTATCTTTAACCTTGCCATTTACCTTCAAACTTGACATTTATCTTCCTTCTGCGGGTAAATCGTCAAAACGTTATAGTATCTTCGGGTAAGATTTCGTTAAGATCGCGAGATAGGCTTTTATCACGTTTTTGGACCTTCCGAGCCGTTTTGTGATAAATTCGTTTTGCGACTTTGTACGAGATCGTTTCCTGATCCGATGTCTTTTAGTAAATAACCCGAGTTAATCGTAATGTTTAGCTATGTTCGTTTTCTTTGGTTAATCGTTTCCGTTTATACGATTCACTCAACGTTTTTAAATTAAAAACGCGTTTTTTACGATTCTTACGAAAAATCTCGAATAAATCGTATAGTCTAGGCAATGTTCGGTGTTTCGTTTAACCGTTGCCGTTTTATACGATTTCCTCGAGATATTTTCGAGAAAACAAGGTTTTACGGTTTTTATCGTAAAACTCGAACAATAGGACGGATCGAGACGAAACGGGAGACATTTCGACTGTGGTTCGAAGCATGATCATTTCGAAGGACGTAAGCCTTGAATCGGGGATGTGGGAGATCGAGGCTTGGGATGGCCGGCTCGCCGTTTGGCGAGCTACCCGGGAAGCTTCTAGCTCGCCGAACGGCGAGCTAGTCGGGATGGGACTAGCTCGCCGAACAACAAGCTTGTCGTGACGGGACTATCTCGTGTTTTACGGTTGTTTCGGTTTTTCGCGATTTTGTGCTTAACTCGGACGATCGTGTAATCGACGTTCGTTTCGTTCTTCCGAGATAACGATCTTCCGAGTTTTTCGCGGATTTCCTTTGTTCGGAAATCTCTTTTGGATTTATAAAATGATTTCTCGAGTTTTATAAAACGATTTTTGTATTCCGTGAAAAGTAATGATTTTATCTTTACAGAAGTTATCGTAGACGTTGATTTCGAGATTACGGTTTTCGACACCAACAGTTTTCCCCCAGCTCGCAAGTTTTGGAGAAAGTTTTTGCGGGTGCCTGGAGTTGCTTTAATCGAAATACACGGCTGCGATTTGTCTTATTACGAGGGATGGGCTCTTTTTTCTATAAGTTTTGGATCATTACTCCTCATATCTTTCATCTCTCAAGTTTTTCTCCAACTTCTCTCTAGAAAATTTTCAAGATGTCTTCTTCCCAAGGTGATCAACAAAAACATGAGGTTCCAGCTGGTGACAACCCTATGGCACATTCGCAGGATGCTCGTATTTCTGAGTATCTCTTGTTTCAAGAGGAGATGGATCGCAGCGATGCTGAGGAGAACACGGTGCCGAATGGCATACCCCTGGTGGTCAAGGCTATTTTGGATGAAACGGCGGATACGATAGTGAAATCCTCGACGGGCGTCGTTATCGAACCGTCGGGTTCGTCCGCTGTTCCGGCCCTTGCTGTAGTCGAAAATGTAGCGGTTCCTGCCGAGGTCGGGACGGTTGCGGCTCCTACCGTGGTTGAATCGGTTGCGGCTCCTACCACGGTCGAACTGGTTGCGGCTCCTTCCGCGGTCGAACCGGTTGCGGCTCTCACCGTGGTCGAACCGGTTACGACTCTGAGGCCTCCTCCTCCGGCCAAGAGGGTGATTGTTCTGGGACTTCCGGCGCTTAGCGCAACCATGTCTGCTCCAGCCAAAGGTTGTAAGAGACCTTGCCCGAACCCCGATGCTCCCAAGAGAAAGAGAGGCACAAAGGGTCCGGAGACTGGAGCTTCGTCAAGCAAGGCGCCAAGCTTGGTTTCAATGTCGCAACACCGTGCCAAGGTACAGGTTGGAGAATATTCGTTTAAAAAGACTATAATTTTAATTCGTATCTGACCGTCTAGCTTGGATTTTCTAGTTTGTCTCGTTGATCGATGGGATGATCAAAGAGTGTGGGTCCGAAGTTGAGCGTCTAGCCAACGAGTTGGCTGAGTCGCAACAAAGGTCCGCTCAGCTCGAGGGGAAATTGAAGGTGATAGAGGACGTGCATTACGCGGAGGTGTCTCGGTTCGAGGCCAGGATCAGTGACTTGGAGCGCGATCTCGGAAAGACCGCGATTTTTTTGCTCAAGGCGAAGGATGCAAAGAAGTCCAAGGCTTCGGAGCTGCGCAGACTCCAGCGCAAGATGAAGAGTTTTGAGGGATCGGCGGTTAGTCGACCGAAGGGGATGTTCCTGTCGAGGGAAGTGACTCCGACCCGACTCTTGCTGACGAAGGTTAAGGTGTTGTTGCGGGAGTTGGTGATGCGATTGATGAGGATGAGACTCCGTGTGCGGAGGGTATCTGAAGTTGTTGTCTCTTAGGAGACTTAAGAATTAGGTTTTTATGTGTTTGTCCGAGAATGGCTTTTGTACTTGCTCGGGACTGGCCTTTTACGGCTTTGAATCCCTTGTTGCTTCGGCAACTTTCTATAATGAACAATCAGTTTTTCGTTTAAACCTTTTTTCGAGTTGATATTGAGGGAGGTCCGCGAGTTGTCATCTCGCATTCCTTTCCCTTAGTGTATCGCCTTATTCGTTTGCTCGTTTTAGGATGTTAGCAAATCGAGTGAGCGTTTAGATATAGACGAAGAGACATGCCTTTAAGATCTCGATTCATGCCTTGAGACGTTAGCGACCAG